AAGTGATGTATCAGTAACTTTTGAAACAAAAATTGTTTTTATAGTTACATCATGTTGAAAATCATGCAAAATTTGCGTAAGTTTTTAAAGAAAACATATTACCCAAAAAAAAAAATTTTTTTTATCATCAGGTTTTTCATGATAACATATTAATAATTCACATCTACGAAGATTTATTTGGATTGATAATAGATGAAATTAAACGTTGATGTTGACCATTTTTAATTGATACATATTCTAGAAAAACTTTCAATGTCATTCGACATCATACCTCACTACATTGAACTTTAGTAATATGACCTAAATTTTGTAATTCCGTCCGATTAGCTTCTTATAATTTAGATCCAATTAAACAATTTAAATCAGCTATTTTATCATTTTCTCTAACTAATTTTGCTCTAAGACATAATTTTGTATGAACTTCATCAGGCAGCATTAAACTCCATTCCCACGATCTTTGACTTATTTTATCATTAGATTGTTCAATAGATGCAATTATTCGATCAACACTAATACATGTACATGAATCATTTAATTTATGTTCATACTCAAAGTAAATAATTGTACATTAGAATTAACAGCTCTTGACCAAATTTTAAAAGTGTTGTTTCCATTGTTGAGGATGTGGGTGTGGGTGTGGGTGGGTGGGTGGTGTGTGTGTGGATGTGGGTCCGCAGTGTGAGTGCACTTGTGGATTTACCAGATAACATGTGCACACCCACACCCCAAAATGTTTGTCGGTTCGATAAAGAATCTAATGTACTGCAATACGATAAGGGTATTTTCGAAAAAGTGTTATTTTTACAGCAAAGTAGGTACTCAGTAGACCTCGGTAAGGTTTTCGAATTCTAGGTTTCGAAAACAGATAGAAAGTTCGGCAAAATAAGCTTCTTGTTGCTGCAATATCATCATAATTGAGTGAGTCGTAAAAGATTGTTCAAATTTTAGAGATCGGCTAAATTTTGAGGAGGAAACTTGTCTCTTTCGAAGGAACTTTTACATAATTTCCTGAGATTCAGAATTTGAGCAAACCACATGTAGTTTTTCAAACTTTCTATTTGCTCTTTTTCCAATGATGTTCGACGTTAACAGTTCATTCGAAAGACAAAACCTTCCTCAACCAGAGTCAAGTTCACTTAGAAATTTCCACTATTATTCCAACAGTCGATGGTTAAAGATTTTCAAAAGTATTCACAATCTTTTACAAGCCATCTAAGTGCGATGTTATTGTAGAAAAAAAGAAATATATTTCAC